TAAGAGGTATGTTTTGTATTGAAAGTTGCCGTTTTTAAAAGATAAGTGAGAAAAGGTGTTGTAGAAAGAAGATTTTACAACATTGTTCAGACTAATAAATCTTTTAGTATCATTGTTAAAAAGAAATTTTTTTAATTTTTGCTACTTTATCTTTTTTCTGTAACATTTGCTGACGACGAGTTTTTTCAAGGTTTTTAGTGTGAATAGATACAGCGAAAATTTGAATTGTTTAAAATATATATATAAAAATTAAAGTTATAAGAAGATACTATTAGCTTTCTTGCTGGTTTTTTGTTTGTAATATAAATGTTTTTAAAAATTGCTGGCTTAAATTTGTTCTGCTGCTTCAGATGTAAATTAGGGATTGCTCTAGTAATTCTGAAGTTGACAGCCTTTTCTGGTCAATTTATTTGCACCTCTGTGTGCGTTGATCTCTCTTTAGATTTGACAATATCACTGAACACTGACACTTCGTTAGGAGTTTTCCCGATATAGGCACAAAATTATACCTCGTTTGGGTATCAAGCAGTTCAAAGAATTGTGGTCTTATGTACATGAGAATAAGAAAGAGGCCTAGGAAAATGAAGTTAAAGTTAAATGAACCAATAAAGGAACATCTATAAAAGCAATGATGATTTTTGTGAACAAATGAGTACTAAAAAAATATTTTTGTCTTGTTTGTCTTTGCGCATAAAGCTGCATTATCTTAAGAACAAACTTTTTTTACTGATTTTACGCTTCTTCTCAAGTATTAGTAATATTTTTATATTTGTAATAGTGGAGTGTCATGATTAATAGCTAAAAAGAAAGCATGTGATATAGGCTAAAGACAGAGTGATCAATCAGCAGTTCAATTCTCACATTTTTTTTATCAATCATAAAATGCAGAAAAAGAATTCATTTGTCAAAATTCTTTTCTTCTGTGACATAATATCTTCAAAAATCTTCTTTTTTTTATGAAAGTCAAATAAATTAATTCCAGGGAGTAGAAGAGCGGGGAAACATAAATATTACTATTATATCTTTTTTTTTTCTCATTTTTTTTCACCTGTGAAAAATATCTGATTAAAGATAAGCAGAAAGAAGAGGAGAAGTTGCAACCTGAATGAACAGTTGAAGAATAAACATGAAGAATTAGCACATACGTTGGAGCACAGGTTTTGCTTTCGTCATTTTTTTTAATCAGTAGTTCTAATTTTACAAATGCTGCCACGCTGTTTGATATAACAGTAAAAAAGAAGTTTTTTGACGATCCGAATACAGGAAAAGCCATTATCGACTATCTCCGGACAACTTTTTTCAATTTTTTTTGAACTTTTACGAAAAGAAAGTGGAAGTAGAGAGGATAAAAAAGAAGGCAGTGGGATGCTAAGAGTTAAGTAAGAAAAGTTATTGTAAAAGAGTATTCAAAATAAATCACTAAGCCAGATTAATGTTTTCACTTTCTTTTCAGCTTCTGAATAAAATTTCTTTAATATTACCGTTTTTTTGCAACGCAAATTGACATTTCCTTGTGAAGTTAAGAAAAATTAATGAAGACAAAAGAAGGAAAAACAGAATAACACGTAAAACTTCGTGACAACTCAAACAAAAAACTTTTTTTCTTGAACTTTTCTGGTTGCTTTTGATTGTTTTCACTCACTTTTATCAGTTTTCTTTGGTTACCGATCCAACAGTTCTGCCTTTCTTTCTATCTGTTATTCTTAAATTTTTTTCACTGCTATTTTCACCTGTGTGTCGCAAATGCAAAAAAAAAAATTATGTGAAACGCTTACAATATCAATGTGCCAACTATTTTTTTTTGCCATCGTATTTTGTCTATTTCATCTCTGTTACAGTAACTGTAATACTGATAACCTAAAATATTTATTCAGGTTTAAATTGAAATTGTTTTTAGGCATACATAGTTCAGATACAAACTAGTGATTGGACGGAACGATGTTGCCTTATTGTCAAGCTGAATTGAGCAATAAAATTTTGGGAGATTCAGAAGAACATTTAACACCTGTGGAAAAATGCTTTCTATACGATTCTTTTCTTTCGTATGATACTGTTCAAAAACAACAACAAAAAAAAATTTGCTTGCATCGGTGATTATAAATGATGTTCGTTCTAATTTTTTTTTGAATTTATTTTCTACACATGTGTATTTATATGTATCTACCACGCATGTTTCTTTTATACGGGCATAAACGCAGTATGAATGTAAATTTTATTCTGTTTTGGAACAGTAGTGACCCTAAATAAAGCGTTTTTGTTGCGCAATGGATGACCATGATTTACGACGTAAGCAAAAATACTGGTCTAACAACTGGAATCCTGTTGTCCTTCAACAAATGTTCAAATAATTTATTTACAATAGTGATTTAAATGGGTGGAAAAAAAGAAGGTGAAGGAAGAAAAGAAACTGTTAAGTGATGGCATTGTCAGGAGATAGAAAGTGGCAAAAATTGTTAGTTTCTAAAATTGCTGTTTACGGCTTCTATCTTCTGGATAACTGTATGAAATGACAGATCTAAGATCGCACAAGTACACAAAAAAAAAAAAAAAAAAAAA